GGTAGTTTTGTCCATAGCCTAGGCCTTAGATATCTAATAGAGTGCTTTCTGTAGGTGACTGCCTCATACCTAGGTATAGAGAAATCTGCTTGCCTCAGATTGTAATTACTATTTGGTTCTTTAAAGATGTTACTTATATATGCAGGCCACAGTTTATGCTTTACTTTATACATAAGGATGCACAGATCCTGTAAGCGACTATTTAGTAGTGTGGGCAGATCTGCCTTCTCTAATAGTTGTTCATAACTAGAATTATTATCCTTGAAAACCGCTCTAAGTCCTCTTTCTTGTAGTCTTTCAAGCTTTTGAGTGTCACTCGCTTTGCAAAAATGCCACACTAGGTGACAGTACATGAGGAATGGTAATATCGTGCTTTTGAATAATATTAACTTAGATTTCATAGGAATTAGATTACGTAGTCTCATTAGAACACCAATTCTCTGGCTGGCTTTTTTACAGATAGAGATTATATGCTCAGAGAAATTTAGCTTAGAATCTAACACTACTCCTAGAAGTATGATATTATCTTTAGTTTCAATTACAACATCATTCACACAAATATTGCTGTCATTTTGAGTGAAGCCCAAGTTCAAAACTTGGTACTTTTTGAGGTTTCCCGCCAATAAGTTAGAATCATACCACGTTGTTGCTAAGTTGGCACTATCCTTTAACTGGGAAGTCACAGCTGCCTGGTCTGCTCCTGCGTGGTAAATTTGATGGTTGTCAGCATACATAGACAAGTTCGCTGTTAGGCAGTAGGATAGGTCATTCTGGAAAACATTCCATAACAACGGGCCAAGCGCGGAACCCTGAGGACAGCCGCGACTCACGAATCGGCTTGAACTAACATGACGGCTGATCTTTACTTGATATTTCCGTTCATTTAAATAGCTGTTTAAAAGTTGAATAGCACTTTCCTGAAAACCGTACGCTTCAAGCTTGTTCAGAAGTAGTGGTGGGTGTAACGAGTCAAATGCCTTTGACATGTTAGTTGAAAGTATGCTCACAACCTGTCTTTGATCCCTCGCTAGTCTCCAATCTACTAAATTGATCAATATCGTTTCGCAGCTGTGAGCTTTGCGATAAGCGGATGAGTTTTGGTAAATACGATTACCAAAGCCAGAGTTGATCTGCGCTCAAACCAACTTCTCAACAACTTTACTTACACATGGTAAGAGAGTTATGGGCCAGTAGTTTTCCTTTGCATTTCTGTCATCCTTTTTGTATTTTGGGGCCCAATGCCCATATTTCCATTCAGTAGGCCATGCATTCTTGATAATACAAGAATTGAACAAGGTGGTTAGTGGAGCGGATAACTCATTAGCACCTGTTTTTAAAGCCTTTGAAGGAATTCCATCAGTGCCGGTGGTTTTGTTTATGTTCAGCCAATCGAGAGCTGCAGGGACTTGACCCTGTGTAACCGATTCGATTTCAATGGTCTGAGTGGAATTCCTATTTTTATATTGTATCCTCTGAACACAAGGATGGTCTCTAAAGTCCTCTATTGACTTTCTTTCAATCGCTGTACCGCCAATGCCATCCGCCAAGGTAGCAAAATGCTCAACCAATTCCTCAGCCACTTGTTGTTGATCCGTTATCATACTGCCGTTTATTTTTAAGTGGATGTCGTTTCTTTCAGTACAGCTCTTAGAACCCAAAAATGGCTTGAAAGTTTTGAAAAACGCCTTGGGATTGTTTTTCAGATCGTTTGAGTTATTATACCAGTGCTGTTTGATGGCAATTCTTCTTTGTTTAGTGGCCTCGTTTCTGGCTTTACGTCGTGATTCCCAATTTTCTGGCGTTTTGTTTTTCAAGTACTTGTCATTTGCTTTGCGTTTAGCTCTAATCGCACTTTTCCAATGAGACGTCATGTAGGGCACATCTTTATCACGCACACGCATTTTTTTCAAAGGTGCCACTTCGTCCAGTATATTGTTCATAAGTGCCCTCCACGCGTAAACTTGATCGTCGATGTCATCAAACAATTGTCCAACATGCCATGGGGCAGAGGACAAAAGCTGTTTATAATGTTCAGGGTCAAAGTTCTTATAACTCCTAAATGTGATGACCTTTGGTTTGTTGTGATTTATTTTCTGCTTCAGGGCACCGTAAACAAGGTTGTGATCACTTAAGTAAGGATGGTAATTACCAGATAGCTGGAAGCTATCCGGTCTATTAGTGAGCAAAACATGTATTAAACTCTCTGTTATAATTATTCCACGCTTTTCTATTCTTGTTGGCTTAGTAATTAGACATTCAAAACCTTGTTCAACTTCCAAATCGAGAAGCAGTTTTCCTTCAGGTTTGTCAGGGCGAAGTCTGTTCAGATTTAGGTCCTCAGTAACTACAACAGAATTACTGTTCAAGCTTGCCCAGTTACAGGCATAACTGAGTTCGCTTTCCAGCAGTCTTTGATATTCGCCACACAGAGCTCTCGGGGGACAATAAATACCAACAATTAGCATATTGTCCATATCTGTTTTGATTTCGAAGGCAATTATTTCCAGTGTCTTAAAGGATTTATCAGGTTTCAGCTGTGTCCTGACTAGCGATTGAGATATTAAAGCCATAATTCCACCGCCGCCCTTTTTCCTATCATTTTGGTAGAGGAAGTAGTTCGGAACTTTGAACTGAGCGTTGGGATAGCTCGCGTCGATCTTGGTCTCACTTACGAACATTATGTGGACGTTGATTTTCTTGATTACTTCGGTCAGTTCTTCAAATTTATTTTGGATGCTGTTGATATTCAAGTGGGCGATTAAAAAATCCTTATTGTGATGTTTCCTAAAGAGTTCTAGCTGATCGTTTTCAGAAGTAATTTCTGTGACATCTCTGTAAAGAAACTGCTCGAAGGCCGTATTTTGAGTTGTTTCCCCTGTCCACTCAGACGACAACACTATCAATCATTGGATTCTGTACAAGAATGCTCGAGCATGGAAGTTGAGCTTTAGACGTCTTAAACGAATCTGGGATAGCTTGGAAATGAAAGCTTATTTCATAATATTGTTTATGCAAAAATGGAAAATCAATGCTTAAAGAACGTATGTGTTACATCAATTTCCTCTGCTCCCGCTATTTATTATGATGCGAAATCTGGCGTGGACAAAGAAAGGACAACTCCAAGTACTTTTACTGTTTTAGAGAATGATTGACAGTAATGTCCGTAATCTCATTCTTCAGCCTGACTTTAATATTTCGGCCTTTAGAGCTGGAAGTGAAGATGCATATTTTTCATTGAAAGGTGAAGTAGAGGGACGTTGCAAACTTTAAAACTTCAATTATTTGCATGGATTGTGCCGATAAACATTATCAGGGAATCTTTATTTATGACTATGGCGCAGAACGGCGTGCAAGGACAAGATTCAGAGCTTAAATATTTTGCAGGTTAGAATCTTTTTGTGTTTAGAAGAAGCAGGATAAAATAAAACTTAAGCTTAATTAAATTTATTATATTTCAACGAATTCAAATATTATTTTAACACCACCTCAGCAAGCTCCATTACTGTATGAATTTATAACGAAACAGTAGCAGTTTTGGTTGATCAATCAATGCAGCTTCAATTATAGCTACTTATATATAGTTTTCTTGACATAAATTTGGGTTATTAGACATTTGATAAGCTCTTTTTTAGCCTTCAGTTGGTTTCTGATTTGTGCAATCAACACCAGGCGGCAAAGTTGGAGAACGACTTGAAAATTAATTGTTGGATCTCGAACATCAAATCATAAAATCAACTTTCAATAGATTTAGTAAAACTAAAAGAGAGTTTATTCATGTCACTCGGTTCTCAAACTTCTTTTAATGAGTAGATCGTAAATGAGCTAACTCTCTGGGATTGATTTCCTAGAATAGGCTTTGAAATAAAGTAAATTAAAGACTACATTGAAAATATGAAAAAACAGAATTTAATCTCATTCACTTTATATTTTCGTATTATTTTGCGACAAACATTGGCCGAACAATTACCTTTTTTTCAAGACACTTTTCATACAAGCTTAGACTCAAATGCCGAAGGTGAATTTACTTTGACTTTCTTATAGTTCGATTTTATAGTAAACTCGATAGCTGAATTTGCTAGCCAGTTCCTACCAGTATATTACAACAACAGTGTAAGACTAGTTTTGTTTACTACCATTTTTATAGAGTATTTTTTTCGTGTGGTTTCCTATCACATCAAAATTGGAAGGAAAACATATTGACATATATCTTTAATGGCAAAAAGAGAGTCGTTTTTTCAACTTGCATAGTATAAAAGGGGTTTTTATTTAGTCTCAAATTATCAGGTGAACTGCATGTTTCCTCATACGTAACCTTGAGTGAAATTTCATAAGAGATAAAACACATTGCACATAGGAAGTAAAAGTACCACTTTATTCACTCTCGTTTACTAGATGTTTTTAGAACACATTACTCCCATTAATTTTACTTTATAAATTAAGATTAAAGGTGAGCTTTATGACTCAACTCGTCTTCCTGTTTAGCCTCTGCGTACTTCAACAAAAAGTCTTTCACGAAGGTAAACAGGAGTTTGTCGGTTGACCGAGTGGAGACTATATCCCGACCTATGCGATCTTTTAACTAGTTGCACAGGGCTTAACAGTGAACACTATCCGAAAAAACATCCCACCTTATCATATTACTAAACAGACACACTTCTTCATAACAAATCATTCTACAATAGATAAATAGCTTACTAGTCAAAGATCTTGAATTTTAACGTCGCATAAGGACACTCCATAAAAGGTTGCACGAAAATTTATAGCAGTCCAAGTAGCAAACAGGCAGGCCTCGACAAAAAAGAACTTTTAACTTGTTTTTGGAATCGATAAGTTTCATTACACAAAATTAAGCAATTTTTATTGAACTAAATAGATTGTCACTACTTACTTATTCCTTGGCTGAGCCGCGTTACTGTGATTCTGGAAAGCAATAGGATCAGTGAATTGATACAGAAGTTATTCAATCCTTCCCTGCAATTTCTCATCAGCTTTATTAATATGAACGCAAAACTCGTGCCGCCGCACCAAAAGCTATGGGGGGAATAGTTAGCCGGAACTAAACCAATGGCGCTAATGACCTTGGAAATAAAAAGGCAGAAATGGCGAGAGGTAAGTGGAGATAACTGCTGAGAGGTGGAACAAACAACAGAGAACAATGGGGCGGTGGACGGCCCGGAGTTCAAACGCAAATGATGTCTTAAAGCGGTGACTGGGCGTAGCGGGGAACCAGGAATGAGAGGCAAGGGGATTGATAAAGAACGTTGTTGGTACTGAATAGTCTTAGAAGCCGCGATATGAAGCGTGGCGCCATGTGAGTCAAAAACTAGATCGGCTTGCAACGGAACTTTGGAAGAAATGCGATTGGCTACATCGGGAACTAAATTAGATTTTCGCAAAAAGGTGAAAAAGGCAACTAGAAACAGAGCCCACATGGCTGCATGTAAAGGCTTGTCTAATTGGAATAATGGAAACACCTGAAGCAGAAGTTCTGGGGTGAACGGATGCTTGCGGTTGGCAGACACGCCGAGATAGCGTTTGGCACCTCGTAAAACTAACTGGAAACGATAATGCGTGTCCCAAACCTAACAAGCTACCGAACGACAAAACCTAGTATACACATTAACATGAGACTGAATGTTCCAATGAGTAGAATCGGCAAAGGCGAGATGAAGGAGACGCTGAGCAAAGGCATCTAAAGTTGATATACTGATGGCAGACCCTGAAAACGAGCGAAAAAGAAAAAAATGTAAATGACTAACTGAAAGTGCATGCTAAAAAGATCAATCAACATAAAAAAAGATGAAGTCTCCGGGTATCTGGTTGAAAACGTAACTGATCCCGAGTTCTTGAGAAGTTTGAGCAAAGTGAACTTGATACGCAAGGGTCATCCCAGTGGCTCAATGCGTCTGCTAACGAATTGTGCTCACCGGGAATGTACCGCGCACGAATGTCAAAGTCATGTAGAGTGGAGAGGAACCACAACTCTCTCAAACAATGCTGCATGAATGGATCTCTTGTGGAGCCTGAATTGATGACGGTGACGGCAGCGTCATTATCACATGAGAGAATGAACCGTTGATGTTGCAAGACGGGAGCCCAGAACTTGACAGCAACGACGATAGTAAAGAGTTCCGACGCTGAGATGTGAGTGGCCACCGAGAGAACAGGATCCGGGAAAGCGAACGTGATGCATTAGTCAAGGCAAGTCGCTCCCCCCCGGACCATGCAGGGATTAGTGCTAAAACGCAAATTGGCGAAAGACCACTCGTCAGGCTTTATAACCGAAACACCGTTGAAGAGGGGAAGGAAAGTGTTCCACCACAACAAATCTTCCGCATTGCACGAGTTACTGGTTGATGTTTTGCATGTGAAGGGAAACTCCGCAAGGCGTTGAGCAAGCGTGACAAGAAAATTCGACTCACGTGAACACAAGCAGTCACAAAGGAGAGTTTACCGAGCAGAGACTGCAACTCTTTCATCGTAAAACGCTCGCGTGACAGCCACAATCGTAATTCATCAGATAAGTCACGAAGCCGTGAATCGAGGACTCGTAAGGTTAAGTCTTCGGTATTAACGAGAATGCCTAAGCAAACCATCTCCACTGCGGGCGGTGAGTCTATTTCAGGCGATGAGGCCAAACCTAACGAGTCGAAAAGAGTTTGTAGAGTGGCGAAAGCCGTATTCGCCAGAGCGGGAACTTCGGCTCCATAAAAATCGTCTAGATAAACATCGGCGGAAAAGTCTGATTGTGTGAAAATGTAAATGACAGCCTTGGTGGTCCGTTGACAGATCATGGCTGAAGTTCGTAATCCGAAGGGGCAACGAGTATCAAAATAAAATTGATTGTCAAAATTGAAGCCTAACAAGTGGTAATCTCTGGGGTTGATCGGTATCTGACGATAAGCACGCTGAAGATCTTTTTTGTAAATGAGACAACCACGGCCCTTAGATAATATGAGTTCGCACAATCTATCTATTCCGGGAAGACGAAGTTTGAAGGGGGAGTCGAGGTAAGTGTTCAAAGGAATTGCGCTGTTTACCGAACGATCTGGCTGGAAACTCAAGTCCATGACGACTCGGCGTTTAGACGAACCGCGTTTCGGGACAGTTTGAAGTGGGGAGCATATGAGGGGCTTGCTGAGCGGGTTGACCGAGAAAGGGCCAGCGATGGCCCCAAAGGACAATTCTGTTTTGATGTTATGGCGAACGTGATCGGCAAAGGCCAAAGCCGATTGATGATTGTGAGGTGTAGATAATGGCGATTGATGGGAGTTGTAATTGATCGGCCATCCATACTTTAAAAATTCCGCGACGATCTTATCGTCATAATGGCGTAAAAGATGAGCCGACATGTGAACTTTTAATGCTGTGGGAACTGGAATTTTGGCCCCGAAAGTGTTGGGCTGAGCGGAACGGGAGGCTAAGATGTGACAAATAATAGCAGATGTATCAGTGCTTGGAGCCATGGAACGAACAAAACAATGAGAAGGAGTTTCTGTGCGTGAGCGAGTGTCCTGTAAATCCTTGTCCATTGATAAGTCCGAGGTTGCTTGAGGGGAAAGAGGGAGTGGCTGTGGAACGTGATGTCAGGAGGAGGGATTGATCCCTGATCGCTGGGTGGAGTTGCTGGTGGAGGCTGTTCTCTTTTTAAGCGGAGAAGCTCTAATTCCAGAGCTAACTTTTCGCGCTCTGCCTGAACCAAAGAGATCCGTTGGGTCAAGTAATCTGGCGAAGCTAGGTCTCCGGTGCACAGTTGCTGAGGAGTACGAGCTTGAGCAGCACCCAAAGGTGTGCCCGACTTGTGGCTTTCTACCGGATCTGGAGGCAACTTTGGATCTAGCGCCGAAGACAGAGGGACGGTTGGAAGACTAAAATCATAAAGAAATGCGTCTTCGTCTCTCGTCGATTTGGTTTTTCGAGTGGGGCGCTTTCTAGTGCCGGCTGGATCTGCGTGAGCCATGATGCGGGCGACTTAGCGTCCTTGCCCTTTGACAACGAGCTTATGACTGACCGACAGACGAAGCTGGGAGATTATTGGATAAGCTGAACGATGTCACATGATCGGATCGTAATTAGCAAGAATCACTAACGTAATTATTGCACAATTTTTATTGAACTAAATAGATTGTCACTAATTACTTATTCCTTGGCTGAGCTGCGTTACTGTGATTCTGGAAAGCAATAGGATCAGTGAATTGATACAGAAGTTATTCAATCCTTCCCTGCAATTTCTCATCAGCTTTATTACTATCAATCACATAAAACTAAATAGCCCAAACAAGTTGAAGGAACTTCCTTAAAAAGGTTAGCTGTAATTACTATAAAGGGAAGCTCTTCAAATTGAATTCTGAACGTTCACAACTTATGACGCAGCTAGCATACAACGCGGGTGCTAAATAATCTCCGAAGTGTACGCTTTTACTGGTAATATTGAAGTTAGGATCTCAAAGATGTTCCTTACTAACATTAAAAAGAGGTAAACTTATCGGAATTAACTTTCCTTTTCCGATTTGCTGTTAAACTCAAACAAAATTGTAAAAGGAACAACCCACTTTACCTTCAAGAAGAAGCCACGCTACTACGACATACGCAGTGGTCACAAGACAATCCGCAAAGAAGACTAGAAGCTAGTTCTGAACCCCTTCGTATGATGGGTGTTAGCTCGGCGCACCGACTCATCTTATTGGTCGTACACTACAGCGATGTTGATTTGTGGGTAATGAAACGAATACGCATAACAATTCAGTGCCCGCGCACCAGTTTTTTAACTTTGTGTTAATAAGTGCCTGAAAGAGAGGCCAATTTTGTTTTTGTAGCCCTTTTCTGCTGTAATTTCATTTCATTTTTCTCGCAAGAAATATATTTGTTGTCTTTCGAGACGCTCAAAATTTCTCTAAAGATCCGTCCTTTATTTTTAATAAGTTGTTATGAACTTATCAAACAGAATTGAAATCTCTGCTAGTCTCATACACAAACATTTCTTTAGCTCGTCACGCAGTCTATTCTCCTCCACGTCAGGCTAGAGAAGGAAACTATTCTGCACGTATATAGAACGTTATTCAGCTATTCATTTGCACATATCTACGTTTGCAGACCTTTGTGCTTGTAGATTGCGTTCCTTAAGAGAAAGGTTTCCTTAAATCGAGATTCTATTCAATACATTTTACTGTAATTTTGACCTGTCTAAAGAAAATCGTTCGTTATACAAAAAACTTTGTTATATAGACCTTCGTTGAACCGAGATTCTACTGTATTTTTTCGTTGCTTGCATTGTTTTAAGGAAAAGCCCTAAAGCAAATCAAAATCCCTCATTTACACGATAGTGATATACTACCATTAAACGGCGAACAAAATCATTTTTCACACATTCCGGGAAAAGTAATGTCACTCAGTGAGGGTTATGGGCTTCTGTGTCACTTCAATACACGATTACGAACTGTCAATAAGAAACCCCTATTCTCCGATTTTTCTGAGGAGGGATCTCTGCACGTGCGAAGATTTTGGCGTGTAAAGATTTCATGTGCCTCCAATCCTAGCCTCTCACCCAAGAAGGTCAAACTCGTTCCCAGGGTTCTCTCTCTTGCTTTGAGTTGCCGCTTTTCACGTGCAAATGTGTCAATAAATTGCGTAGCGGGAGTGGGTCCTCTACTAGATTTAGACAATTTGACGATGAAATATTCTCATCCCCAGAAGCCCTTCATTTCTTCGTCACGTGGTCTCGAAGCTCTGCGCATTCAATTCCCTTCAGCTAATGAAAAAATTCGTATTTTCCGTTGCGTCCAGAGCCACTGGTTCGTTACAAATTAAGCCGAGTCGCTCTGGCGACGAGAATGTATGTAAGGTAGGGAGAAAATACTTCAAAATGGCGCTTGAATTTTTAAGTCCCATGCAAACTCCATTGCTTTTGCTTTGTACAGTATCATAACATTATTTTCACCGCAAAACACTTTATTTGTTTACGGAATTTGTATGACAAAAGTTACTTAGTCAAGGCGCGAGAGGAGTTCGTTGGCTCTCGTACTACGCAGGTATTTCAAAATGTGAACAAAAGCCGAAAAAATAGTATTGGACAATGTTAGAGAAAGAACGCTAGAAAGAAGGTGCGCTATTCATTTCTTAAATTGTGCGGCCAGCTGATAAATGAATCAAACCGGAAATAAATTTAAAACTGCTGTCTGACTAATGCTTCCTGAAACCTGACTTTTGCAATATCTTTTTGTTTTCACGAACTTAGCCTGTTCCAGGCGTTCAGATAGTGGGGGGCGGTGTGAAGTAAAAAGGAGCGCAAAAAAACAAAAGCGAGGGAGGTGAGAGGGGGAACGCCTGTAAGCACCTCTCTCCCCAGTCCCCCTCTACTTTTCATCGCTTTCTTTACTTAGCACGGCTCTCCACTATCTGAACGCTTGCAACAGGCTATCATGAACTGCATGTCCAAGGTATGCAAATTTACAAAAAGCTGATGATGCACGTAGAAATCGAACAAGTCTTTCCGTACTAGTATCCTCTTGAAGCGACAATTTTTTTCTCATCTTCCCCTCCTTTATTTTATGGGAGACACGTAACCAGCTGGAACGAGGATTGTTTCTCGAAGCAAGAGAGCGGGTATTCAAAACTAAAGCGAGGCGGAGAAATCCAGTTTCCTGTAAAAGGCAATGATTTCCCAAGTGAACACTGTCCACGTAACTGGACGTAAAAATTTCTTGTGAATTCAACCTAAACGTTTCTTAGAATATTTGAACCGATTGCTGGAACTGTACGCAGCTGTACGAGAAATGTATTCCGTGTTTTGGCCAAATTTTTATGCACCAAGGCTTTCTTGTGTTTATATTAGCTTAACTCATAAATTTCTTTAGTTATTTAAGAGCTTCTCTGAAACGTGTAGCAATATTTGTTCTCACATGTGTGCTTTACGCGTTTTCTGCACGGCCAAAGCAAAGATTGAAAATAATTTTATACGCTATCGAACGATATTAGAATTAACGAGTTTAATATTCAACTTCATTCCATGTCACCTTGTTCTTGTCGCCTACAAACTATTTCAAAGGTCATGGTTTACTCGCAGCACTTTACATTGCATTGGAATTACTACTTTAATAATGATTTATTTGTTTCTTGTAACTGTATGCAGGTTATCAATCTAGCTACACTACACGTGCTAAACGCCTATAAAATGCAACTCGTACTGCAGACCCTGCCACAGATCTGACATTAGTTTGCCTAATATGTTGTCTTACAGTGACTTGCTGTCGGCTTACCTCTTAAGTCGTTTTGCTTATGTTGTTTTGCGAACACTTTCAGTAACTGTAATTTTATTTTTAAACTATTTTAAAGTTGCAAGCGTTGTAATCCATACCCAGTGTAATCAACATGTGTTGTTTGTTACATGCATACACATGGCGTGACTTCCTTCAATTTTCACTTTGTTTGAACCAAGATTCTTACTCAGTGTAGTCAGAACTTTTGACTGTTATTTAAGCTATAAGTTACAGCGAGCGACTTTAAACAAGCAGTGCAATAGCCTTGATCTAACAGATGTTGACCTTTTTAATTACCAAAAGGAAACCGATATACACTAACATTTTTTTTATTTCTGTAAGCCAATGTTGAAAACCAGAACTTTTTATCCCTTTTATGGCTGTTCTCTCAATCACTCTTCCAGAATGCGCTAAATGTCATTTACTTTCATAACACTTCTTTAGTTCTTATATATTTCTCTCAAGAAGCACCTCATGAATATTGGAATTCAATTTTATCCAGTTTCTTTTTAGTATAAGAGGACCCTTGACTTGATCATCATAATTGGTACAATGAATGACATCATCAGCTATCACATAATCTTTATCCACCAGTGTAACCACTGTAAAGGCAACTATCACATCAAGTATTGCCAGATAATGTCGTCAACTACTTCCCCAACTAATTGATAAATAGATGATAAATGACAATTAAAAAGGAGAATTTATGTCAAACACGCAACAAATTCAGATGACCTCTTAGGAAACAGGCAGTTCAACTTCTCTTTCTCGCATTGGTACCAGGCGGTGTTGGACACGGTCCACGTGACCAATTTTGTCCAATCACGCTATTGCAGATGGCGGACTGCTTTTTTTTTACTTTTGTGCGTCGTCCCTTCGATTTTCTCCTATTTTTGCCATTTATCGAGTGATTTACGATTATATTTTTTGGAAAAGCTTGAGTAGACAGCTGTAGCAAGCCGCAGTTCTTAAAACAATCCAAGGTATGTTTGTTTTCTATTGATATTGTTCTTTGTAATTCTTGATGTGCATAATCCCTTTGTTTTGTTAAGAGCTATTGTTTCTGCTTTTCAGCCTATATCTTCTCTGTGTTCAATGACCCCTGACCTCCATTTTTTAGCATAATCTATTAGTATTGTTGTTCAAGTATCTGAAATGGTCGGCGGGCCCCAGCGGGCCCCGCCGTTTTAAGGGTGAAAATGCTACTTGAAGTTTACCTATGTGCGGGAATCGTGACTCCCATTTCGCGGCATCTTTAGTATTATGAAGTTACTTGCGCAGTCACAATCAATCGTTCGTCGATCTTTCATAGCTGCGTAGAATTCTTTTTCTCATTCCCCTTTTCATTCTTCTTTAAAAATATGATATTTTTTGTAGTATATATGTCATCGAAGCGGCCGTTAGGCCCTCCTTCGGGAAATACTCCTGATAAGCCTCTTCAGAAGTCCAGGAGAAGTCAACGTAGAGAAACCACATCTAAATCTAAATCTACCTGTAGTTCTCCTTTTCATTTTTTTGGTTTCAAGTAACTGTCAATACAGCTGTACCAATAGACTTAATGGAATCGCTTTTAGATTTTAAGGAACAAACCTTTAAAACAAAGATCAGGCAAAAAGTATTTTCAATGTTATTAATTTGAAAAACATTAATTTTACCTATTACCTTGCATGTTTGCAGACCAGTGAAGGGTATTCAAGGTTTAACAAGAGAAATCATTCTTGCTCTGGTGGCAAACCTGGCGAGCAGAGAGTTGAGACGATCAGAGGGTGAGGCAAGAGGTTTGCCCCCTGAAAACCCCAGGGCAAGTACCACTGACGATGTTGAAGGAATGATTGCCCTTTTCCATGAGTTGCTTGGACCAATTTTTGATCACAAGGCATTTAAGCTAGAATTCCCAAAAATAATGAATGAATTCAACAAACGGATTGATCCTGATCTCCCCTTTTACTACTGGAGTGGCATCCATGAGCGTTTTCATTTGAAAGCTTTGCTAAGCTTCAATAAGCCATCTCAATCAGGAATTGAACGCTTAGATCAAGTAGTGATTTCACGTAGAGGTGATCCAGGGGTGTTTGTGGCAAACCGTGCCAATCTGCCTCAACGGGGTTCGCTTACTGTTAGGGTTCAATTTCATGCAGCAAGTGAGACACTTCCACCAATGAATTTATCTGACTTTTAATAGTCGTTTCCATGCAGTTGTTATTCAGAATCACAATGCTGCATTTCATTAAGTGTGTTTTACAGTCTATTTAGCATTACCCACGGTCTCGAAAATTATGAAGGACAATTTAATGCACTTAAAATGTCAAGTAACAACATGGTGGTAACCTTTGAACGTAGCAAACACATAACATTGATACCACTTTTTAGGAAAAAAACTCTAATTAGTTGTACTGTGTTTTTAAACGTATTGTAAATTTCAACATTAGTGTAACTACCAAACAATTTTCTATCAGAAGACTAGATGAAAATGATGAAAAAGTTAAATTTCTAGTTGAAGACTAAGTAAAAATATTATTATTGTACTCGAGAACTGGTTTGTACAACTTGAGGAAGCGATTCACCTTTGCAAGATAAAAACAATGTCATGTAGTACCCTAATTTAGCCCACTGGGTGTGGAACTTTATCTGATATACAGATGCACTCTGTAGTCTTCTTGAATTTAATACACAATGGACATATTTTGTTAGTTCTTCTGCCATAAAGCCAACATGCTTAAATCCTGTTCCATAGTCTATGAAAACACGAATAGCATTTGCATCAAAGTCATCGTCAGGATCTGGCTCAATCATGGCTTTAACAACAAAGTTCGGATCATCTTGCATTTTCATGCCTGCCGCCTTTAGGTGGTTCTGTCTCTCAGTTTTGTAAACAAGACCCATTACTTTAAAAGGAAGAGTATGAACAACAAACTCTTTGTCTTCCTCTTCCTCTTCTTCTTCATCATCAATGTCCAACTGACAAACGTTTTCAACTAAGTTCTCATCACCAGAAGAGGAATTTGCACTGGATGTAGATTGTTCACTATTAAAGTCAAAACAGTCCCACTCCCAAATCACAGTGTATTGGTTATTATCAATGGTAATGATGCAAGTTGATGAGGCAGTTATTTCAAAAGGCGTTGATAACAACCGAAGCCTTGGATCTGAACTCTGGAAAAGTACTTCCTTTACATGACCACCACAGCTCACTTTCCCCTTTGTCCAGTCAATGACTAAAACGGGTAAGCATGGCACGGTCCATGGAAATTTTCCATTAGTGTCCACCTCAATTACAGTTAGCACTTGTGAACTGGTGGCTTGTCTGGGTGCTGATCCTTGAGGCCCAGGAGTGCCATTAGAGGTCACAGCACCCAAGGTTACTGGAAAAATTCCCGCCTGTAATGGGAAAAAAACACTTCATTAGTATGTTTATGTAAGGTAACAGCATCATCCAGCCTTATAAGAAAAATAATATTATCAACACAATCATCAGTGTACATGTACATAGAAAAGCCATTGTACTAAACCATTTGCATTATGAAATTTTCTAAAAGCCAATGTAACTTGTTAAACTTAGGATCTTAGAAGATTACAATAAGTATACTTTATCAACACAAAGACAGTACAGTACCTCAGCCGAAGGCATGGGTAAATTCCGCACTCTTTCTCCAGTTTCCACATTTTTATTGCCAATGGCAATGTCTGCGGCCACCTGATCAGTCGGTCGTCTGCTAATAATAAGTTAAAGTCTATTTCAAGATAATAGCAACAATGCTTAATGATAGTGTAATAGTAGATGGATGACCAGAGACACACATGTTATTCTGCATTTTACAATAGTATAACTGAAGTGTTTTGGTCTATTGTGACTTTCACCACTTCTAAACATATAAGGCTTGGATATTAGTTTTGCTTTTGATTGTTTCCTTTATAATTTGCTGCAACAAGAACTAAAATGTGTTGAGAAAGTTAATAATAATAAATTGCCCTGTTTGAGAATTAAACAAAATCAGCCTTCAATGAACATTAGTATTTGCTAAATATTGGGAAAATTATGACATATTTTTAGTCAGCAATCTGTAAGAATGGAAACACACTGATTAGATCTCGAGGTAGAACCCTTTTGCATTCAAATAAAGGATACGGAAAGTTGGTGGAAAAAACTCATTGTTGACATCTCCATTAAGTGGAACCACCCTTTTGGTACCAGGGTTAAACACTGGTTGATGCAGGAAGGTTTTGTCTGCCATCTCAAACATCTCATGATATCCATCAGGGATAACAAGTGAAGGCTTGTGGAGGATTTCTCTTACGTTACTTATGGCCCATTGTGTGCCTTTATTGCCAGCTGCCTCCAAAACAGTTCAGGCACGTTGCAGTCCAATCCCTCTAATGGACGAAGCGTAGTCACATCCTGATAGGATGCACATGTGTCTAAATTTTTCGAAAGTGAAGTCCTTGAATTTCAGGGCAGAGTTCAGATCCTCCCTTTTTATTAGCTTCCCACTTCCACTGTGAGTCATTTTAAATAAGACCTGAAAGTTAGAGACAAACATGCAATTAGTATTGATCCTTGCAGGACAATACAACAAATGGCTGAATCACTAAAATGACATGAGAAATATGAGCGATGAATACAGTAAAATTAATAGTCAGTGCCTAACCAAATAAAAAAGGGCTCTATAGAGAACACACCTGTAGGGACTTTCAACAATCCCAGTCCTTGGCTACATGGGGTGGACACAATGTATTTTTGAATTTGTAAGACATTCATTTGTTCTAAATAATGAAGATTTACCAAACAACACTAAAAAATTACCTGTGTACAACCAAACACCAACAGGTCCGAGTCCTCAGTGATAACAACATCTGCATAACCCTCTTTATTAAGATATGCAAGCTGGGCATCAGCCTTAAATGGTGCCACCAGATATTTAATTCCTCTCTGTCTACATGCCTGAGGGGAAAAAAACCTCAAATCAACAAAAAAAAATGAAAATGACTACACAGAAAAGGAAAGAAAATTTAGATTACATGTAGTCCCTACTTAATAACCACTGAGAGACACCAAACATAGTCCTAAATTCTTGGTTAAAGTTTTTATTCTTGGTTAAAAATTTTTTGTCTTCTTGAGAAGGCTCTGCTAGCACTGAACCAAAAGCTAATAATATGATATCCAAAAAGGGAAAAATATATACCAAAGATTGCACTACAGCATAAATATGATTTTCATAAGTTTACATGTAAAGCACTTTGCAACGCAACATTTCAAACTCAACTTTTAGTTTTTGGGAGTAGCCAAGTAAAACAAAGACTGAGATATCAATATTGCCAGTAACACTGGGTTACCTCCACCAACTTGAGGGTCGTATCATTTGAGATGTTCACAGCCTTTTTGAACAGTTCCTTTGCTTCTTCTTTTCGCCCTTGTCTCCAAAGAGTTAAACCTTTGTCCCGAGATTCTTCACGATTCCTAATAATTCATACAAAAAATAAGGAACAGATAAAACTGAATTTATACGGACTAAAACGACTAGAAAACCTCTGCTAACTTAATGTTGTCCTCACCTTCTTCGAAAGGATTCCACATTTGCCTTAGCCTCCAGCTCCATTCCATCGAAAACCAGAATAGCCTGTACATTATTTTCGACGAGAAGATCAATATACTTCATGCACATGTCAATGTAACTGAGAAAATAAAATCTGAGGTGAAAAGAAGGACTAAAGAGAAGCTTACGTTTAAAATCATGCACTTTTAAGCACGTGTAAGAACGAAGTATTGATACGTACCACGTTGTTTGAATCCCTAGAATTATCTCTTCGGCACAGAAAATAGCAGCTTTATGAAGCCCGCAGTAAGCATCGATTGCGGCAACCTTTCTGGAAAAAGATCAAACATGAACGTCGCATGTTATGTCCTTTAAAAGTGGAAGAAGGCCTGTAATGCCCATATCACACTATTTCTATGGCGTAACGAGATATGTGAACAGAGCGAAGGTCATATGCAAATGAGCCGTTTTCATTTTTTTTCCCATGAAGAGCTTTGGACCATGTCCAACACCGCCTGCATTGGTACATTTCGATCCTCTGCCAATCATCTCTGCACAGACAACAGTACTTTTAAATTCACAGCGACCTCTTAAACTGGAAGTCAGCGTTTTTCCCTCTAAATAGCAATTCACGTGTCCAAATATGTATTGCTAAACGTGTTTAAGTATTATAAAAACAATTCGCCTGAAAATCCGCCCAATACAACTGTGCAGGAAAACAACAACTCGATTAACGTTAACATGCGTTGCTCAAAACGTCTCTGTTTAAACTCTCCATTTACATGTAAATTACACATGATTAACCGAGTCTACACTTATAGCGAAATTCGTTGTATCGCGCCCTGCGTTTTGCATATTTTGGGTTTTTCTGTTCTGTCAATCATCTTAGCAGACCTCTTACAAAACAAATCTTTACTAGCACCAGAATAGCCTCCCACGCAAACGTTCTTAGGGAGAGGAATGATTGCGTGACGAACCCGTAAGAACGTCTGGGTTGGAGGCTTCAGTTCAAAAGGTCATGGTTTGTGATTCGTGATTGGTGGATTTCGATCCATTGTGTTTGTTTTCTGTTCGGCAAGGTTTGTTGTTCTGTGATTGTCCTGTTTCCTGCAATAATCGACTAGTTAAGTTTGCTTTGCACATTTTTATAATCTTTCTTATTCTTGTTACTCGAAAAAATAAAACAACCTCTGCCTCCTTTCGACAAAAAATCCACTCACCATTGCGATTTCCTTCGCTATTGTTGAGCAGCTAGAGTCATTTTTAGCTCAGCTGGGCGAGCATGTTACATTGTCATTTGCATTAACCCCACCTTCACTAAAATGATTGACCGAACAGAAAAACCCAAAATCCCTTCTAAGTTTGCAAAATTAGACTACGAGCAGCCTCTCTTTTTTCTGTAGTCCGTCGAGCAAAACGCAAGATACGCAAATGGCCACGTGCATGACTGATGGCGTGAGGCGGGAGAGTAGTCTCTTTGTTCTTCTCAGGCTGCTGCCCTCGTTTCGCGCGTCTCGCGGCTTCGCCGCTCCCAAGCGCATGCATTGCTCTCACTAAATCTGAAGAAAAAGAGAGACTGCTCGCAGTCTATTGCAAAATACGCAGCGCGATACAACGAATTTGGCTGTAATTTTCAAACCCCTCCTATTCACACTTCGGCAAAAATACCCCTCGCAACACCTTCATTTAAGGCTCCCTTACATTAACAACAAAGAAACTATTTAAAGCCACACATCAACAATCAGAAGCAATCGCGAAGACTACTTTGTCTAGTTCTCCCCATCATTACATAAAACAACAACTTGAAAATACAATCAATAACAAGCCCTCACAAAACAACAGCCTTGCAACCACCTCCGCCACTTTTGTTTCCATTTCCCCACCACCTTCACCTGCACATTTTTCACACTACAAATTTACCCTACGTCGCACTAGCCCAATCCGCTAACAGCTAATCTCAGCGTTGTGTCAAATCTAACAGGCCGCGTTACAGAGCACACGTTCAAACCCCTGCCAACGAAAAAATAATATTTCTTTCTTCCTCAAATATATTAAACAACTCGAAGTCATCTCGACATATCTCGAACAACTTCCGCCCTGACCTCGTCGAATCGAAAACTCACCCACTTTACATGCCCAAACTCATCCCAAAATGGTCCACTTTCATACATTCGAGGGCGTCGCGAATCCTTAACTTCGCGCTACGCCGAAGCAACAAGCCAAAAAGTCACGAACTAGCGCACCCAATCTTGTCCCGATACTGGTGCATAATTTCATAGCAATTTTTCATCCCAAAGTACCTTGGTTCGCAGTAGCGCAATTGGCTAATCCCTCAACTTAGAGTCTCCTCTGATCTGAGGGGTCACACAGGCGAGTCGGTTCAAACCCCGGGGAAACCAAAATAATAATTCTTTCTTCCTCAAAATAGTTAAAGAATAAATGAAAGAAATCGAAGTAATCTCGAGATACCTCGAACTAATTCGGCTCTTCGTCAAATAGCTGACTAAAACCGAAAACCTACAGACTTTGAATTGTAACTTCGATACATTCCTGAGCGTGGCGAATCCTTTACTTTGCGCTCCGCCGAAGTAAAAAGCAGAGATACCAACAAAGTGGGTCAGAAACGTAGCAGTGGCAGTAATGCAACAATCATACCTGTCTCCTTAGGATCAATAGCACTCTCTTCCATTTGCTTCCATTGCTGAATAGTTTCATGCTGATAAGGAACTATAATGAGAGTTCCTTTTTTGTATTTTGGTTGTCCTAGGGCAGCTGGCAAGTGCAATGCTTATAAGCAATGCAAACCATGACTGAGGAAAAGAAGAACAAGGAAGGGGAAAAAAGGAAAACAAAACATGAGAAAGGGGAAATTCGTAAACTGGGTAAAAAGACTGCCAAAAGGAAGAGGGGACCTTCAGACGGAGCCAGCTAACCAATGAACTTCACCAGGGAATCGGACCCTGCCTCCCACCCAGAAACTAATACTAATTAATAAGATATGAAAGTATACTACACTAAGAGATTGCTTTTAAAAATTAAAAGCAAAAGACAGCAATACCTGGAAAACCTTCAAAAATCTCTTGAAGCTCTTTGGAAGAGTTTCTTAACAATTCTTTTGCCTTCAAGTGTTTCGCTTTCAAAACTGGACCTTATGAAATATTATGTACAAATCTTAAAGGTGTATCAAATAAAGACAACATACATTGCAAAAAAGGCTTATCACGTTATCAACCAAATTCATTTTAAATACATCAGTACAGTGCCTTCATGTTTTTAAACAGGTACATACGTATGTAGTACATGAATAAACATGAAAAATCTGAACAGGAAGAGATACGATATTATAATTGGTACATTAAAGTGTCAGTTATTGGATTATCTAAATTAATGATAAATATGTCCAATTTGTCACATGCATGTATGCTACAGCTGTAAGTAGAGGGAACAGTAACTGAAATATGTATTCCCTTTACAAGAACAAGAAGAGAAAAATTTATGATAAAAACTGCTTTAGAAAGTCATTCTTAAACAGACCTAGCTTTTTGACAATTCGCTTGCCATAAAGTAAAAGACCATCTGTCAAGGTGTCAATTCTCTTTTCTGGAGTCATCTCTTTAGTTATTGCCAAGAAGCCGGGAAGGAACGACCACAGTCTCTTTAGTCCCTGCGTGGACAAAACGCGGACTAAAATTTGTCTTTATATGTAAAACTGTACAGCTTGCAAAGGGGCCAGAGCCCATGTGCAAAGGAAAGTGCATGGAGTAACTCAAGTTATACTTTACGATCACTTACATTGGATTTGCTATATTCATTTCCATACCACTCGTCATATTTGATGCTAATAAATCCTTTTGGGAAATTATGACGACAAACCCTTCCAAATATCCCTTTTTCATCAAACGGCTTGTTCTTTCCTTTTGATCTTATGTTTGAGAGGACCTCTTGCATGGAAATGATTGCAATTCTACAAACATAAAAGAATTTACAAGAGAGGTAGAGAAATGATTTTTAAACTAATAAACTGATAAAAAACAGTTGCACCAGTAGTGCACCAACCAAAGCACATTCCAAAGTGCTTTACAAAGTTAAACAACATTAAAGCCTGAGAAAAAAATTGCTAGTTCAACATATAACAAGCTTTGACTTTAATATTTTTAACTACTCAGGCATGAATTCTGCATCACTGGAATCATGTTTAAGGGTGAGGCATTCCACAATTTGGAACATACAAACAACATTTTGGCTACTGCCAAGAAAACCCGACTAAATATCAGAAACTGATTCAGATGTTGAATATTGTTAATTAATGCTGCTGACGAACCTACATATATAGAGAACACGAAGAATTTGGGGTAGCTGGGTGACATCATTATTACAATGTGTCTCACACATGCGTGACACTTTGAAGGCAAATTACAATAACTGCTATACATTTAATTCTTCTATTCTAACTTACTGGAACCCAAAGCAAAAAGAAAAAAAGCGAACGCAGACTGGAAAAGTCCTAAAGCAAAGCTGAGACAGCATGATACAGTGTTCCCTTCATATGGATTACATTATGTGCATAAACTGGAAACTGGATTTTGTGACAAAACCGTCCATGTTCATGATACATCTATCTTTATCACAAATTACTCAAATTGCATTTACCTTTGGACATACTGGACACTTTTAGCCATCGTCTATTCCAGGACATATTTTATGTAAGTGATTTAGCTGATCCTTTTTATACCTGAAAGACAGGTTAAAACCTCTAAAATAAATATAAAATATAATATCTACATTAAGATACATTCTGTTTGTTTTTCAATCACATTTACACTGTACCTGTACTCTTCAAAACAGCCAGAATTTAAAATGGAGTAGACAGTAAACCTACAAAAAAAAATCAATGACACTGTTAATAATAATATATTGATGTGCATTAATATAAGGCAGTTAATATCCACTGTACATAAACATATTCAGTTGTGCTTCACAGCATTGCCAAAATCTAATATTACTTCAGCCCCTTCCAACACGAAGGCTACGTCATGGAAGCGAGACAAACTAGTAAAATGTCTCCACATTAACTTCCTGAAAGAAGTGTTAGTGTGGCAATGTGTACACATCAACCTCCTTAATTCAAA